TTGAGTCTTCTATGTTGTTCTGTCTTGCGGAAAACCTTACTCAGATCATGGGGGGCTGGGGTGTGCGTGTAGATGATCAAGGGCACAGTCCCTGGCTGGGAAAGAAACGTGAACCCCTCTGAGGGCTCTTAGGCACACATGCGCACACCTGGTGTGAGTTTCAGGCCGCCAGATTCAGGACTGGAACCACAGTTGGCCATGTGGGAATCCAGTGTTGTAACTGCTATGCCATCTGCTGGCCCCAAGATAGTAACTTTTTCAAGTTGCTGATAATTAGTCATGAGAAAAGGCAGAAAACAGAGCCAATAAGTGGAAATAAAGGAGCTGGTGCTGTCAGAGGGAAGGAAAAGTAGGCGGGTTGTATTGCTAAAAGCTGCTAAGCCAGGCGTGGGCAAGCAACTGAGAGCGAGAAAGATGGCCCTAAAATTGGAGAGGACTCTAGCAAGATGTCTCCCCACCCATCCACGAGAACAGTTCCTAAACAGGGCCCTAGGCATACCTGCAAGTAACAAGTGCCTCGTGTTTTATTTCCTAAATCATCTCAGAAGGTACGGGTGATTTTGTTTCTCTCTCTCTCTCTCTCTCTTTCTCTCATTCCAGTGAGCACACATGCCCTAAGGCAAAAACCTCTACCCCCCCCCAAAAAAAAGTATTATCTTAAATGAAATATGGAAAGAAAAAAAGACACAAAGGGATCCAGGGTGAAAATCAAGGAGTAAAATTTCTAATCTTGGGAGACAAAAGATCCCCAGAAGAGAGTTTATGACTATATTAAAAAGTGGGGGTGGCCAAGTGGTAAGGGAGCCGGATCCCACATGGCCGACCATGCAGTTTGAATTCGGACCCAGTGGCTTGTATAAAACACCAGGCACAGGACCCAGTGGCTTGTAAAACACACCAGGCACAGATGCGTGTGCATGCCCCAAATCCCAACAGGATGGAGAAATGGAAGAGAAGGGATTGCATCATGACCACACCCTATTGAAGATGCTTTCTCCCTCTCTAGGTCTCTGTCTGGTGAGTGCACACACCTCTAGCAATTAATTGGGGGTTCTAGAGAGACATGAAATATGGCTCATAAAAGGCTATCCAGTGCCCTATGGATCTGGGAAGGGCCCTGGGCTGGGAGTCCTTGGTGGGCCAGGGCCTCCCTGGATAGTCAACCCCTTCTCAGTTTTCAGGGGAGCTGAACCAGATCATCTAAATGACGCTTTTAGACAGAGGGGACAGATTTAACAACCACATAGCCATGGTGTAAACCACAGGATGCCCACAGATGGAGAACTTACCACTTCCTGGTTTTCCACAGGGGTATGAAGCAGAATCAGTGCCATGTTTGTGTGTAGAGGGAGACCAGCCGGCATGGTTTTCCTCTTTCCTCCCAAGATTTAAAAATCTGAAAGGATAATTGGTACAGACCCTGCTCAGCTTGAATTTTGCAAAATATTTGTCTTTCATTTATTCTTAAGATGTGATATTCTTGGGACCAGCAGGTGGCATAGTGGTTAAGGCACTGGATTTCCACATGGCTAACCATGGTTCGAGTCCCAAACCCAAGGTTTGAAAATCATACTAGGTGTATACGCTCAAAATCCCAAGAGAAGACTGGAGGAGAAGGGATTGTGGTGTGGCCATCTTACCTGGGGGAGTGAATTTCTCAATTTCTTCCTCTTGGTCTCTCTCAGTTCTCTGACAAGAGCACACACCCAATAGCAAAAATCTCTCAAAGAAAAAGACATGCTTTTTTTTTTTTTTTTTTTTTTTAAAAAGGGAAATATTTGCTATAGAGCATATGTGCTTGCCATGGAAACAGAGAGAGAGGTGGAGAGACAGAAAGTGAGAAATCACTCTCCAGGGAGGATGGCCACACCACAGTCCCTTCTCCTCCATTCTCCTCTCAGAATCTTGGGCACGCACGTGCACGCACCCAGAGTGAGTTTCAAGCCTCTGGGTCTGGGACTCAAACCATAGTAGGCCATGTTGCAGTCCAGCAATGTACCCACTCTGCCATCTGCCTGCCCCAAGACATGATATTCCGTAGAAAGCAACTGTGTCTGTGTGATCCGGTTTGAAATACCAGGTAACAAGCCTTTTCCTTCCTGTATTTGAGTACAGGGCTGAAGAGACCTGAGGTTCCAGGACCCTGGTGGGTTTTGGCAAAAGAGCCCTTTGAAACAGAATTGGGAAGCAGAAGCCTCTTACATTCAGGTCATGGCATTTTTTACAAAAATATCTAAATACTGTGCAAAGCGCTGGGAGTTACAGACGTGGGTTACATAGCTGGGGGTCGGGGGCTCTGGGAACTTAACACGGGACTGTGGGAGGAACTCTAGTTGTCCTGGCAGAAGGCCACAGCACAGGGACAGAGACCTTCTGTGAAGTCATGTCATATATCAAGAAATGTCTTGCTCGTTTTAGCTTAAAAATGGCCTTCTTGTTTGGTCCCCTTGGGGTGGGATTTGAAAAGCATTGATTCCCACCCAATCCAGCTGTGGCTTGGTTGCCATGCCAATGAGAGAACAGTGTCCAATCTGCGTCGATAATTGTCTTTTAAAGCAGATATTATCAGCTCTAAGAAATGAACCCTTCTCCGAACATGATAGCTGGAATAGGCTAAGAATCCTCCTTTCTGTGGGATCAGAAGGGAATATTTTCTAGTGCAAAATTGGGTAGGGGACATGCCCCTGAGCACCTGGCTGACTCTCTGTCTGACGCCACCCTCAGCCAGGAGCAGCCACTGGGCTGCCAGCCCCACGTCATGAATTCCTAAGTCTGCCCTGGCCATGGCCACACTGCCAGCCCAGCCTGGAGCTGGCTTCATTGTGGCGTTTGTTTTTATTCTGATTTAAAGGGAATAAAGAAACCAATAGCCAGATATTTCTTTTTTTAAAAAAAATTATTTACTCAGTTTTATTTATTCATTTAATCATTTTCATTTGACCAGAGAAAGACAGACACACAAAGAGAAGGAAAGTGAGAAAGGAAGCCACCAGGTCCGGGACTCAAATTGTGGTTGGCCATGTGGGAGTGTCCAGCACCTTAACCACCATGCCACCTGCTGGCCCCCAATAGTCAAATATTTCTAGAACAAGGATTCAATAGCTATAACCTGTGGATCAAATCTGGCTGCCACTATTTTTTTTATTGTAATAGAAATAAAGTTTTATTGGAACACATTGCAGGCTGTCTGTAGCTGCGTTTGTGGTGTAAGAGCAGAGCTGAGAAGTCACAGCAGAGACCATGCAGCCTGCGAGCACGAAACATTTCTTATCTGACCTTTTGCAGACAAAGTTCGCCAGCCTTGATCTAAAGGAAGCACAGTAAGGATTAGTGAGAAGTTGGAGAAAGTTTTTCCAAAAGAAAACTATACTTTCAGGAAAGCCTGAGGTGAAGACCAGGATGAAGAATCCTCTGAGGAGACCACTAGGTATCAGTCCTCCCCTCTTTGAAGCTGAGAAAGGAAACAGCTGTCTCCTAAGAGAAAGTTTTTAACCTCCATTAAACAGAGAGGAAGAGGAGATGGTGGTGTCTTCGAGCTGTGTGCATTTACTGGAAAGACTTCATCCAGGGAAATGAGCAGACAGGGCTTTCGCCAGCCAGCAGGTGGAGGTTGGAGGGAGGTGGAGAGACTGCTTCCAGCCAAGCTGGATTCGGATTTATCAATTGAGGCTGCCAAACTCGCCTTTGCCCAGAGAACTTAGGGGATGTGGGTTAAAGCAGGTGGAAGGATTGCTTTTGAGGCTCCAGTTGGAGCTATAGGGGTTGTTTTTGAGAGGAAAATCAGGAGCTTGGCCCATGGGCTTCATGGAGAATTACACTCCTGTACTCTGTACAAAGAAAAAGTAACTCTTCCTTGCTCCTGGAAACTCTGTGTTGTGGTGTTCTGAGGCTTCATCCTGCCCACACTCCTGCCCCACAGAGGTGCGGTTCAGTTCCTGAGGAAACAGACTGGCCCAGAGAGACCAGCCCGGGTCCAGAGCAGGGACTGTGTTCCCACCTCAGCCTCCCCAGTGCATGCCATGGGTTTGCCGATTGCCCGGTGTCATGCTTTTCTACCCGTAAGATAGCTGCCCCCACCCCCCACCCCAGCATAAGCCAAAGTGTTGCCAGGTCTTGGATTGAGCAGGTCACTTGTGTCCCTAGCATTTGCCCAAGTTGGTGACAGCCATTAGGTCGGTGGAGTCTTCTGACCACCTCTTGCTGCAGCCCAACCACCTCCAAATTTAATGACTTAAACTAATCGTCATGGGCCAGCCCCAGAGCCTTGTGGTTAAAGGAGTTGGAGCTCACATAGCTGACCATGGTTCAGGTCCTGTCCCCAGAGGCTCGAAAAGCATGCCGGGCCTGAGTGCGTACATGCCCCAAGTCCTGCCAGGATGAAGAAATGAGAGAGAGGCGCTGTGTGAAACCACACCCCCGAGAGGTGTTTCTTCTTTTGCTTTCTCCCTCTATATCTCTGTCTCTCTGGCAGGCATATGCATTCCCCGGCAATTAAAAAAAAAAAAGTAATGAATTTTGTTAGTGAATCTTTTAATTTTTCTATAGAGTACATGTGTTTGCCAGAGAGTCAGAGAAAGACAGAAAAGAAATCACCCTCCAGAGGGATGGCCATACTATAGTCCCTTCTCCTCCATTCTTCTCCAAAATTCTTCCATGAGTTTTTTGAAATGCCCTCATACTGGGTGAAGTAGGTGGAGAAATGTGTTGTTCGGTTTGTGGGGAGGCCTGGGGGTGGAAAGTTGTAAGACATGTGAGAGCCAGCATTGACAGAGATGAGGAGAACAGGGGCCAGATCTCAGAGCCTGTCACAGGGTGGATTTAGGTCACCTCCTCTTTAGTTCTCACTTGCTTCCCATCTTCACCCTCTATCCCATCTCCAAAGCCCCAGAGTCAGACTGTCTTGCAATAAATTAGGAGGCGACAGTGACCCAGGAGCAGATCTGGGTTTTGTGGGACCTGAAGTTTATACAACTGGGGGACAGGAGATTTTGAAGAAAAAGATGTCGAATTCTGAGTGCGAAGTGAGGTGCAAGGCCTTGGTAGGGTGTATGTCAATGCGGGATGTTCAAGCTTGTTTCCTTACCTCGGTAGCAGAGCCACCTCTGCTGTTTCTACCCTCTTCCTGAAGCTCATGAAGCCCTCCTTTCTTCTTGCCTGAGACATTTGTACAGTCCTGGTACCCACTTCCTCCCATTTTTCTCCTTGGTTGTGATAGTGAATCGAGTCCAAATGTCTTAGATTGAAATCTTCTGGAAAGTTGGCTCTTCTCTTTGCCCATACTATTGTCCAAAGGAACATGGGAATTTTCTCCTTTTCGCCTCAGACCATGATTTCCCCCCCATAATCAAGAAAGGGAATGTTGGCTGGAACACTTTATTCTTTTTGGAAATGTGGCACAGGAATATGAATTTCCATAGGCAAAATTATCCCGTCGACTTGAGTCTAGACTGTCCATTGGCCAACAAGTTTGCTGGAGTCCACGCTGGCACCCCAAGAAGCTGCCTGGACTTACTCTGTGGGAAGGGAACAAATTACCTGGAACTATATTTTGAGGGAGGAAGAAAACTCACACCCATAAGCAGTGATCATGAAGAAGTTTACTAGTGAATAAATTCCAAGTAAAATTTGACAGCAGGATCTTCAAATCCCGCAGAAATGCTCAAAGCCATCTGACAATAGTGAAGAGTCTTCCTCAGTCTGGAACATAGCATGGTTGTTGTCCATGGATCAGAACTGCTAGCAAGGTGCAGACCAGACTGCAGGACAGAATGACAAGCCTTCTGTGTTCTAAGGGCTCTAACCCTTTCCAAAATGCTGCTCCTCATTCTTGAGTCAGTCTAACAGATAGGCCCAAGTGCAGGCACATCGGGCGAAGCTCTCCAGAAATTTGTGGGTTTTGGTACACTAGCCATCAGATCTCAGCCCTGGGTAGGAGCTTTGACTTTTAAGGTCCAGTCTTGGTTAAAGAAGAGACACTATGTCCCCATTAATTGCTGGCTGCTCCACCATGAAGCTGAAAAACATCCTTCTATCCTGTTGTGGTACCCTCATCCTAATGGTCTAATTGCCTTTTACCTTTGGGATTAAACAATGGATTCAATCCCATGGGTCAAGCAGAACCTATTTCAAGTATAGATTTTCCATTTCCCCAAAAGAGCAAATAAGAGGAAATGACCAGAATATTATCTAAAAGTTATTTTTTAAAGTTTTTTTTCTTAATTAATGAATTTCCTTCATGAACAAGAGAGACCGCACCCCGACAGGGTTTCAGCTATGAGATCCAGCCCCAGATCACGGGCACACACATGCCCAGTGCACTCAAGATGGGCTCTAGACGCGAACCCAGAACCTCCTTAAGTGGGTCAGCCTTGCAGAAAACTTCATCTTACTGCCGTGCTATTAGCTAGTCCTAAGACATCTTTACTCAACTGGGTCGTTCCTCACATATGAGAGCATCTAAAAGATAGTCTCAGATAAGCAAAGATTGAAGGATACCTACCCTATACCATTTCTGCAAAATGACTTAAAGAATCACTTTCGGAAACTAACTAAATAAATAACATAAGGTATACGTTCCTAAATTCACGACCACTGTCGGTTCGGACTTCCTTGGAGCCGTGAAAAGGACCCTAACCATGTGGGGAGCTGGCTTCTTGGAGACAGAGGGCTTGAAGGGCTCAGGAGAAAGATTCTTACTGATTTACAAGAAGAGAATTGGCTGCCTTTTTTGTTTGTTTTTAAAGAGATTTTTGTTATAGGGCACTTAGGCTTGCTGGAAAATCTCCCCACAAAAGGGGATGGCCGTGCCACAATCCCTTCTCCTCCATTCTTGTCTTGGGGTTTTGGACATGCACGCATACATGCCCAGTGTGAGCTTTGGGACTCGAACCATGAGTATGGGACTTGAACTGCAGTCGGCCATGTGGGAGTCCAGCAGCGTAACCACTGTACCATCTGCAGGTCCCAGAGAATTGGCTGCTGTTTATTCATGTTGCTGACCAATCCTGCTCTAACCTTCCCTTCATGTCTCTCTCACAGACTGTTTTTGAAAGGAATTGCCGATCTGAGGATTGCGCGGCCGACCTGCAGCTCCGGGGTAAACTGCTGCTCTCTAGGTGAGTCAGCATCCCTTTCTCACCATTGCTCTAAGAAGCTTGGTTTTCTTTTCTTTTTCTTTGTTTTTTTTTTTTTTAATGTATAATTTAATTTTAAAAATAAACTTAATGAAAAATAGAACAGAATCAAAACATTTGAAATAAGTACACTCACTACCTACTCCAGTAATTCCTTTGCGCACCCCAAACTTGGATGTGCAGATCCCCTCTACGGCAGAGGGTGAAAGAGTCGGTGGGCTGCAATGATATTTTATAGGTTTTTAAAACAATGTGTATTATCATTTTAACAACAGCTATTCTTTGTAGGGGGATAGTTTGGGTTTTGTTTTGTTTACAGTTCCACATACTTGACAGTATACCTTCAATTTCTAATTACCATGGTATTTGTGTTTGTGTGGAGAGGGGGTTGTTTATGTTACTCACTGAATTAAGTGAACCCATATGAAATTGCCAATATTCGACCTTCGGGGACAATTTTGTGTGGTTCAATCTATTATTACATAAAGATTCCTTCTATTATTTTTTCTTTCCTCACACTGAACAATGGCGTCTACCTTAATGACATGGGCTGTGTCGGGGTCGGGACAGAGACAGATCCTTGTTGTTCCAGGGTTTCCTTTCTCAGTTCATGAATCCCCCAAGGCTAAAGGTGCACCCCACAAAGGCCTTCTGTTTCCTCTTTGCCAACCTGTTATCTTAGGCTTTTCTTAGGACGCAGGTGCTAGTCCCGAGTCGTTTAGCCACATTGCAGAGAAGGGTTTCCTTTTGAAATGACTTTCCTCTGGAAGATTGTTTTAGTCTTGGGGCCAGAATCCTCTCTGTAAGATTTCTTGCCATTTCTCGAAACAGTCTTCAGTTTTGATGGTTATTGTCTAAAATGCCATCGTGTGTCCCTTATCTGTAACCATGAGCATTAAGTTTGGATGGAATGGGCAAAATACCTCATCCTGAACCAGGAAGTTTTTACTTAAGATGATAAATAATCTTTTTTCATCAAAGGAAAGCAAAGCTAAGATTCCAATTTTTTTTTTTTTTTTTTTTTTTTTTTTGAGATGTTTTTGCTATAGGGCACGTGTGCTCGCCAGAAATACAGAGAGAGACTGAGAGAAAGTGAGAAATCACCCCCCACACAGGATGGCCACACTGCAACCCCTTCTCCTCCATTCTCCTCTCGGGATCTTGGGCATGCACACACACACACGCCCAGCGTGAGTTTAAGCCACCGGGTCTAGGACTGGAACCATGGTCGACTACATGGGAGTCCAGAGACATAGCCATTACGCTAACTGCTGGTCCCAAGATTCCTTTTGTTCTGTTTGAGTTTATTGAGGGAAGGTGATATATCCCTGTCTTCTCCCCATACACACAAATACTCCTCTAAACCACTTAAATATTAATTATCATTGCTTTTACTTGGGACAGGAGAGACAGATTAAAGTAGCACATGTTTTGCCAAGCTTAGAAAATTACTTCAAATTCATGGAGTGGATATTGGAATTGTTTCACGTTGGTAAGAATGTCCTCCTGGGATCATTAGAGAAAGCGACTTTAAAGAAGTTTCGTAAATTATCACCTCGTTAATTCTGTTTTTAAATAGGCCTTCCAGAAAATGTTTTAGGGAAAAAGTAACGAGAAACAAAAATGTATGAAGTTGTTTTATTTTCAGGCAGGCCGCAAATGTTGGAAATTTATTTTGGATCTTAGAAAACTTCATGTGGTGGGAAAACGTTCACTTAATCCAAGGTTAAATATTACGTTCGGAAAGTCCTAATGCTCTCAGTGGTCAAATCCATCTCTGTTGAATTGTACTTTGCATGTATTCACAGGTATAATTCAAGGCACATGGTCAGTGGGGCGCTGTGTAGCCAAAGCTGCCTTCTTTGCCCTTACCTGCCCTTCAAGGTGCTGATCGGAACCAGTTCACGCTCTCTCATGTCAGCTGTGACCTCACTGTATAAAAAGTAGAAGCAAAGAATAACAGACTCCTCTGATGACTCTGTAGACCTGGGATCCCTAGCTTCCAAGCTATGGACCAGTGCTGGTCCAGGTGCAGAAATCACTAATGTTAAGACAATTATAGGAGTATGGTGGCCAGGGCCCAGACCCCAATGTGTATCAGCTAGATACTGGGGGAAAAAAAATCACTGCACAGCACATCACCCCCAGTTCAATGGTGTCTAACAGTCATCATTTACTCTCCTGGATCTACAAGTCAGCTGAGGGTTGGCTGATCCAGGCTGGATTCAGTTAGACCTTGACTGACTGGCTCCTGCATCTGGGTTTAGCAAAGGGTAGGCTGATCTCAGCTAGGCTTCTGCGACCCAGTTCTCCTCTACTCTATGCGTCTTTCATTGTCTCCTTAGAAACAGTGGCTAACTCGTGCTTGGTCATCTCATGGCAGGCAAAGGTATGCCAGGGCAAGCCAAAATGTGTAGCCCTAGGCTCAGAACTGGTACACTGGTACTTTAGCCATATGCTAGTGGCAAGTCACGCGACCAGAGTCAGGAGTCAGGACCATATCCTCTGCCCTTTGGTAGACAAAGTCACACAGCAAAGGGCAGGAATATAGGAAGGCGTGGGGAACTGGGACTCGGGCAGTTCGCTATAGCAAGTTACAAAGAGGCAGCTCTATCTCTTATCCTGGTGCCTTTTCGTTTTCAGAACTATTTCAGCCTTTCTTATCATTCCATCTCCCTAGAACTCCACCATGAGACCAGGGCTGGATGTCAAAATTTTCTGGAACTCAGAGGAATGTCCTTGGACCAAAGCTCTAAGCCGCTGCTTAGGATGAGTTATTTCCCAAGAGGCCCCCTAGTCTCTCAAAATAGCATTAAAAAAAAAAAATCAGATAGCCTTAGTAATGCTTTTATTGTGGGTTTAGGGGTAGAGTGTGCTTCCTAAATATAGTCCTTCACTGAATAACCCTTCGTTATACTCTTGAGCCTACAGCAATTCCCACAGGAGCCTTCAGAGAAGTGCTGATTGATAACTGGAGAAGTAGAGAAGATGTAAAGCCCAGTTTGTGGCTTCAGTCACATCTGATTCCCTTGACCTTCAAGTGCACATTCACTCTTGAGAGCCAAGCTTGAAGTGAGGGAGCACAGGTAGTGAGTTACTAGTAGAAACCAGGGTCTGAGTTTGGTTGACAGAGGCTTAGTGGTTTGAAGCAGAGGTGAGTGCTTGGCAATTTGGATGCAGTCTTTGCCTTTCAGGCTTTCTGTATAACCTAGCTCTCTCATGTTAGCTGCAGCCTCACCGTACGGAAAGTTGAAGCTAAGAATAACAGAAAGACTTTTCTGATAGCCATGTAGACCAGGGCTTCACAACCCCCAGACCAGGGAACAGTGTGGGTCCATGGCTTGTTGAGGACCAGGCCATGGACTGGTGTCAGTCCAGGTTTCATCTGTATTTGCAGCCACTCCCCATCACTAACTTTGCTGCCTGGGCTCCGCCCCTTTCAGAGCAATGATGGTGTTGAGTTCTCGTTGGAGTGCAAACCCTATCGTGGGGTTGTTATGTTGTAGTGTGGTAGTAGAAATGGGGTTTGCAGTGGGTGTGGTCCACTTGGGTCATCCCGGGACCAACCTCTCCTAAAACTTCCGTCTTCCCTGTTTTCCCCAAGGCTGGTCCCTGGTGCTAAAAAGTTGGGGCCCACTGATACAGACAGTTGGTACAAGGTGTTGTAGCTAGTGACAGCCAAGTACCCACTAGACTTAGGAGCCATTATCTTGAGAAGACACAGAATAAAGGTATCTGGGAATGATTGGGTGATCCTACATGGCCAGTGATCAAGTCAGGAAATGGTTATCTGTGACCAGGACTCATGGATGTTTTTCTCTCTCTTCAGAGGCCATGAATTCTGGCAGACCTGTTTTCTCTTAAAACAATCAACTCTTCAATTAAAAACCCACAATCTTTAATGTGCTGGAGCCTATTTCCAAAACATGCCATCTCCAAAATGTCTGTGAATAGGGATATAACGGTTCAGACAGTTTCTATTAAACAGGACTGAAAATTCCATTCAGAAGATTAAGATGATGCAACTATATTTTGTCTGTCCGAGTACTCATAGTACCTAAGAAAGTATCACGTGTGATTAAGAGAAAGAAAAATAGACCACAACAGTTCAACTAAAAACAGTCTTTTTAAAAGAGATGAGGGGAACATGTTGGTTCCTCTCCAAGAAAAGCCAACTCCAATAAAAGAAAAACTTTTAAGGGAGGTGAAAAGACATGGCAAGATGTTTGTGAAACTCTAGTAGCCACATAGAATCATCCTGTGATCGTAGTCTTCATAATACTGGGTCATCAGAAAAGTCAAGACATATATTTGCATAGAAAAACACATCATGACTTTTTCAATGCCAATGACCCATTTTTTTTTTTTTTTTTATCAGCGATGCTTAACATCTCTGCCTGTTTCCCCCTCTGTAAGATAGGGGAATTGTGATCACAGTGAACTCTAATGGCCGGTTTTCATGCATGTCTCCCTTCTAGACAGAGTAGTATGATGTAGTAGTGAGCCCCCGTTTCCACCAGGCTTAGTGCATCCACAGCAAGTGCTGATCTGTATTTGTCAAACAGATGAACATCCTATCACTGTGTCACCTCTTGCCAAGTGAGTGGAAGCTAGATACTCTGGAAGAATATTTCACATTACGAGATTATTTAAAGTGTTTAAGGAATGACTATATACTTAAATGCTTCTAAAAGAGCTAGGTCTTATTTAATTTACTCTTCTCCACAACAACACTGAGAAGTAAATATTCCTTTTTTTCCCAGTTGCTAGAGGGTGTGTGCACTCACCAGTGAGAAAAAGCTCACCCAAGTTGGGGGTGGTCATACCACAATCCCTTCTCCATTTCTCCATCCTGTTGAAATCTTAGGCAACACATATACATGTGTTTGGCTTGTTTTTTTGTTTGTTTGTTTTGTTTTCTTTGTTTGTTTTAAGCAGCTGATCTGGGATTTGAACCATGATTGCCCATATAGGGTCTGGCT